AGCAAATCACACAGTTGTTTAGTGAACCATATGGTCATTAAGCGAATTCAGCTTCCCTAACTGAATAGACTTGTTGGAAGCTGGCTGGGAAGGTCACAAATCCCATTCATGTAACTGTAAGATGCTGCAATTGTAGAAAATAAGAGCTGGTTGCAAAGCACCTAAGTTGTGATCATATGACCATAGGAGTATGTGTGTGTGTGTGTGTGTGTGTGTGTGTGTGTGTGTGAGAGAGAGAGAGAGAGAGAGAGAGAGAGAGAGAGACAGACAGACAGACAGACAGAGAGACAGAGACAGAGGGAGGGAGGGAGAGAGAGAGAGATGGTTGTAACTTTGAGGAAAGGTTGTAAGGCACTTTTTCTGAGGCCAATGTGACTTTGAGTGGTTGTTAAAGAAATGGTCATAAGTCCTACAATTTATTTCCGTGCCTTATGCACTCATCATATCATGTGGTTGCTTGCTTATCTGACTTCCATAGGGCTCCTCTTGATGGAGAACGGATTTCCAATTATAATCATTGAAATGTCACTTCTGAGACGTAGTTGAAAGCAGCGACTTAAACAAGAAAGACACCTGGAGATCAGATAGCAAACAGCTCAATAAAATTATCAAGCATGAAGTAGCAATCAAACAGACGAAGCTTTTACTTGAAGGTATCAGGAAAAGGAGTGAAAATAAAATAGAGCATTGTAATACTACAGTGTTATTTGTAGTGCCTTACCAAAGTGCATTTTCTATAGGGGTAACTGTGTTGGCCTGCGGCAGCAAGAACATTGGACAGTTATATTGCACCTTACAAAATTAGAGTTTCTTTATGGCAGAAGCTATGGTACATGATAGATTACATTACAATAAATGTTTGTTTGTCTTAAAAAATATTGGAAACAATGAAACCATTTCAGAATTTCATGCTTGATGTGGAAAAGAATGTAACTTTGACTTTGGGTTTTACAGATTAGATCGATAGATCTTTATAGAAATGACTTGCTCTTATTATTATGGAAAAACAAAAAGCTGTGATTGATGCTGATGCCCTATTTTATTGCAACAGAGAGAGTTGGAAGCCAATGCTTCTTTTTCTTTTCTTTTCCCTACCTTTCCTCACCTCCCTCTCCCCCTTTCCCCCCCCCCCTTTCCCTGCTCTTTTATTTACTTTCATATTTTGCATTTTATAATATTTTATAACCTAATTGAAAATGTTTGGAAAAAAATATTGAAAATTCTTGGTGGTGGTAGTAATGATAGGGATGTTAATCTCCAGTGCACTGCTTTTAGCTTCCTGGGCATCATCGGGCACTGGCAACACAATCATCCCTCCAATTTTATTGAGATGCGGTTCCTGAACCTGGATCCCTAACATTGAGCCCCAATATGGAAAGTTAATCGGTGGTTTTGCCAACCCCCTGCTGTGTTTTCTCTGCCTGATTTCTCAGAGTCCCTCTTTCTTCTTGACACAGAACTGTGGAAAAAGTTATGGTGGCAGCTTTTCCAATTAACAAATTGCATTAAAAGGCAATTTTTAAAAATGAGCTAGAGCTCACTCCCATGCACTGTGGCCAGATGGAATCCCTGCCAGATGCAAGTGGTTGTGGATAGTGATAAAAGAAGGTTGTTGCTTCCAAATTTATTTGCAGTCCCCCCTCCCACCCACATGGCATGGGTTCTTTTTGTGACATTTAATGCATATAAAAACCAACTCTCCCATCCACCCCGATAGCATTACAGGTAATCCTTGGGTTACAACCGGTCACTTAGCAGCTATTTGAAATTACGACAGACCCACCCCCAGGGCTGTTTTTGTCTGAAACAGTATAGGGTTTCATGCCTGAGCAAGGGGTTGAACTAGTAGACTTCCAAAGTCCCTTCCAACTCTTCTCTTCTCTTCTCTTCTCTTCTCTTCTCTTCTCTTCTCTTCTCTTCTCTTCTCTTCTCTTCTCTTCTCTTCTCTTCTCTTCTCTTCCATTCCATTCCATTCCATTCCATTCCATTCCATTCTTTACAAGCTAAGTTTGATGTTTCAATGGCTGCCCACCTCCTCGTGTTCATGTGATCACATTTTGGGTGGTTGGCAGTTGACCCTCATTTACAGCAATATCCTTCAGTCATGTGATTGTAATTTATAATGTCCATTGCAGGAAACCAGCGTTTCTAGCAAAAAACACCCATTGGTACATTGCCCATTTCATTGACACACATTCAATTTTGTAGGTAACTAAGATTGTTGGACGAGCAGGCACAAAAACAGTCAGGGAAGTGATTGAAGCCTGGGAAACAAGCCCCTTGTCAGTTAACAGGATTGCTGAATTATCACAAGCCTATCAAATATTTAGGAGGCGAGGGCTTGGCAGCACAGGGAAATGCCAGCCAATTGCCAGCCATCAACACATCAATCAGCCAATAGGAAGGCACCACGTAAACATGAATAACAGAACACCCCAAAGCATGTATTCCAGAAGAGAAATTCCCTGAAGGTGGGCTCCAGCATAAGTCCAAAAGCTCGGAAGAATACATCTCGATGATGGACCCAAATTCGATTTCGTACAATGGGTTTGCTTCATGATTGCCATGTTTGTTTAATGATTGTGGAGTTTGCTTAATGACTGCCACAAAAAAGGCCATAAATTTGGGTCTGACTTAACAACCATAATTTCAGCCTCAGTCACAGTCTTAAGACAAGGACTAGGTCTTTTTAGTATTTCAATAGATAGAATGTTAATGGAATGGTTGAAATAGTAAATTTGATTTCTGTGATACCAGTCACATGACCTTGGCATGCAGTTCTTGCAGTTTCACATGTCACTGGAGTCTTAACAAATCATGAAGCTGTTGCTTTCTTGAGATATTCACATGATCCCAAGAGGACAATATCTACCCGGACTCTCCTTGCCTTGTGGCCTTTTGATCCTGCTTTGCACCTTCTGGGTCAGATTTTTCAGCAGAACTGGAACATGCAGTTTTCAAAGTCATTCCAGGTTCATCTTTGACATTCTTCTTTTTCATTAGATCTTTGACCTCTGATACTGTCGCCTGTGACATCTTTTAAAATTGCCCATCTAGGAGATGGGAACTTTCCATGCACTTCAGCCTCAAAAGTAAATTAAAGTTTGTTCTATTTCTTTTTCTCCCTTTTCGTATACCTTCATATGTCCAGGGTTCAAATGCATAGAACCCACATAGCCCAGAAGCAAGGTATAAAACAGGAAATCTCTCTTTAAAAAAATAAATCTAAAATGGACTTAATAGAATGGCATTTTTTTTAAAAAAAAAAACCTACACATCCTACTTAGACTTTAATTTTTAAAATGTGTGTTTATCTCTTTTAGAATTGTAAAATACTCTTATTTATACAGAGAGATGGTCAGTGTTGGTTCTTTTTCCTTGTATGACTTTATTATTTTCAAGGTATATTTTGGTTCTGTCCTGTTTCTGTCTCAGTTGGAAACTAGCTGTTCTTAAAAATTCGAACAATCATATACATACATGTGCCTGCATATTTTCATGTGCAAAATATATATCCCTGCACTTTCCTCTCACGTTTGCTACGTCATTTCACTAGTCCACTTGTGTTATACAGTTTTCGGTTAGGTAGGCATTTTATATAAATTTGTGGGAGTTGGAGATTTATGCTGCCACAACTGGAGGTGTTCAGAAACCCAAGTCAGATTCATCCAGCTCATCCTAACACTGGTATATTTTTTTCTCCCCTTCCCTATTCATTATGTTTATTAGATGTTAGTACAGTATTGTGTGATATCCAATGTATAGGAACAAATAACAAAATAAAGTATCTCAAGATAGTTTCAGTTTTCTTTGTTTTATAAGGTTCCCAATCAAAAGGTTACAACAGGTTACACAATAGGTTACAACAGATTAAAAAAATAAAAATTAATCACATGGATACCACTAACGATCATTAAAGGCTAAAGGCTCAGTGGATCACAGTGATTTTTTGTTATCTTTGAATACGGTGGGAATGTTGTACTATATACTGATAATAAGTTAGAAACCGGAAGAGGGAATCACCATTTCTTCTCACAACTACTTTGACCCGCTGGGTTGGAGGCTTTGTTTGTTGTTCTTCCACATGAAGGGCAAAAATCCTGTGAGCTACAGAAGGGAAACACCATCGCAGCTTGCTAATTTAATGAATGGCTGGCGGGGGCAACTTTCATCCTAACTGCCCTGGGAGAAGAAATAAGTGTGAGTATTCTAGAGTGGTGTTTCTCAAGCTAGACCACTTTAAGATGTATGGATTTCAACTCCTAGAATTCCACAACTGGCATGGCAAACAATGGAATTCTGGGAGTTAAAGTCTACATATCTTCAAGTCGCCAAGGTTGAGAAACACTGCTCTAGAGTAATGGTCTATCTCTGAAAGCCATTTCTGTTATAGATGGCTATTACTGGCATAGGAAAACAATGGCTGACTTGGTGTAGCGAATGAAGTGAGATGCAACTCACAAAAGTGTATGCCTTTGAATAAAATGTGTTAATGAGAAAAAGTATGCCCAGACTCCTCTTGATTTTTAGTACTGTGAATTAGCATAACTTTCCTCCAACAGTGTTTGAGCTCCATAGGGGCGAGGAAATATCTCCTCATAGAAGATGGACTACCATTACCTGCAAGCGATTTCAGAAGGAGAATGGAGTGTGGGTGGAAGGAGGGAAGTTTTAATCAAAGCTGTGTTATGTAGTGGATAGAATAGACATCCCAGAATGAATGTGACTGCTGAAACCAGCCAGAAGAGCTAACCAATCCATAACATAGACTTCTATACTTTTATGGTTCCTATGAAGGTTTAATTTGCCTCCAATATATTCTTTGATTAGTTCAGAAAAAAAATCTGATAATAGGTTAATTCAATTTAATTTAAATTAAACCTGAAACTTTGTGTAAAATAAATATTCAGACCATAAATTGCAGTAGGAAAGAGCACAGTCTCATCTTATACGACATACCCTTTCACTTAGACAAAATCTTTATTTTCCACCTGTTTCAGATTCCAGTCCTAACTATGGAAGTGGATATTCAGGGGAAACTGAGACCCTCACAACTTTCAGCTGGGATGACCAGAATGTGCGCAGGGTATTCATCAGGAAGGTAATGTCAAAGCAATTAAGACCAAACCAAACTCAATGCTTAATCAGTAGTGAGGAAGAATGGTAGGTTGCAAGAGGGTTAGTTCACTTTATGTAAGTCAGAAAGAAGCGTATGATCAAGAACAGGTGTTAGAACAAAGATAAAACATCAGATAGAATCAGAGGCTAAAGCAGATTCCAGAAAGTCTAGTCATGAAGAGGTGCTTCAGAAATAATAATTGGTTATTGAATGAAATCACAACTGTTAAAATTACACTCAAAACTTCAGCCTTCAGACCATCTAAAATTCCTTCCTCTTAGTTTTAAGATCTGGATCATCAGTTTCCTCCAATTTCTAGGACTTGAAGGTATTCAGCTAATTTTGGCAAACTCCTAGCCACATAAAGCTTTGAGCTTGGAATTGTGTCTTGAGTTAGACTCAGGAATGTTAGGCCTAGATTCAAGACATTTTAGGTTCAGTGACTGGCTGGGAGTTTCTGTCAGGTCCCAAGAATGGGGGCAACACAAGGAGTTCTTTCTGAGTAGTTTCTTTATTATTGTTAGCCTACAGATAAAAATCTTGACAGATTAAACCAATTATAGCTATAGATGCACTCAGCAAACTGTTAGTTGCGGGGTTCATCTTTGCCCTCTTCCTGCCCATCAAACATTCAAAACTCCACTGTCCCTGAGAAAGAGCCCCTCCCTACCACGAATCTGGATTACATTTCACTATAGATTCACAACATATTCTCTACTGAGGACTCCTTCATCATCCATGGATCTTGTTCTCATCAACACATAAAACAGTGACCAACTCCTTTCTTCTAGTATTGATTACATGGCCCTTACGGAGATGGCTAGAACATGATCATGTAAGGAGATTACCGTATAACGTGTGAACTTCCCCCCCAAAAGAGTGAGTGGTAGAACTAGACTGATAGGGTCTGGCTTGCTTTTTAATTATTAGGTCTTCGGAATAATTGCTGAGCATTAACCAGGCTGATATTTATTCTGTTTCTTTGATATTAGGTTTATAGCATCCTTCTACTTCAGCTCCTTGTTACAGTCAGCATTGTGGCTATCTTCACTTTCTGGTAAGTCTCTGTCCTAGTAACCCTGCCTAGCAACGCATCCTTTGCTGCTGCTTTTCTTTTCTGGTCTGTTATTATTATTTTTCCTATTGATGTTACTCCTCCCATGTTCTCGTGCTTCACATTTGTAAAATGAGGAATTAAACATGCAGAATTTTCTGATAAATGTTATGCCCCCATCATACATCTATACTGCATGACTCAATTATGTTTTAGTTTAGTGCATATTTGAATCATTAAGGAAGGCCACTTAGAAATATTCAGATCATAGCATCCCTTAAGGGAGGTATTTTTAATCGAGCACTAAAATCCAAATTTGTCTTGATACTTTCATAAATCAAACATAGTGAGTGTTCTATTTTGTTTTCTATGTTAGCCATAATTAGCATCAATCAAGATTTATTGTTCCCAGCATGGCAGGCAAGAAGGCAGGCAGGCAAGCAAGGTTTATTATTATAAAAGCATTCTTAGAAGGATGATTAGGTCAGTATTAAAATTCTTTAATCAAGGGTTGTAGTGCTCCACATTTTGCTCTCGTTATTCTAATCTCTTGCGTTTATTATTGCAGTAAACCAGTTCAAGGATATATCCAAGCAAATCCAGCCTGGTACTGGGCTTCCTAGTAAGTACAGATTTGATCTCAGAGATTATTTGTATGTCAGCCATCAAAGTTAACACCGCACCTTATAGGATAAGAAAAAACAAAAGCAAAAACAAACAAACGTTACTTGCAAAATTATCCTGTAGCTTCAATTCATTTTGTTTTTTCAAGGATAAGGTGATGTGGATTAGCCAACTAGGATCAAAGTGTAAATATGGTGTTAGCCAATTATATTTATTTATTGTTCTGTTTGTTTCAGGGGGTTAGGTCTGGTCACCATATATATATAGGTAGTCCTCAACTTACAACCACAATTGAGCCCAAAGTTTATGTTGCTAAGTGAGAAATTTGTTAAGTGAATTTTGCCCCATTTTATGACTTTTCTTGCCTCAGTTGTTATGTGAATCACTGCAGTGGATACACTAGTGACCCAGTTGTTAAGTAAATCTGGCTTCCCCATTGACTGCTTGACAGAAGGTCACAAAAGGGAATCACATGACCTTGGAACACAGCAATGGTCATAAATATGAACCAGTTGCCAAGCATCTGAATCTTGATCACACGATCAACTGCCCTATGGCCATTTTTTCACAGTTACGACTGTCATAACTGTGAAAAACGGTCATAGGTCACTTTTTTCATTGCCGTTGTAACTTCTGTCATTAAGCAAACTGTTGTAAGTCGAGGACCACCAGTATTCTTTTATTTTACCCGCAGTCATCCATACTCAGTGCTTAAAATAGGGGAGGAAAAAGGAGAAAAGGAAATGGGCACACCTCCCTCTTTGCTTTTGCTATTCCTTGTTTTTCTGCAGATTCTTTTTTAACACAACAAGACAAAAGGACAAAAAAAACATAATTTCAGAGGATAAATCTTGCATTGTTCATTATGCCCCCCCCCCCACATCTTTCTTTTGTGCATACTTTTTGTTTCTAGGATTCTCTAGGGAAACGAAGAGGATCCTGGCCCATCCATATACCTGCCTTCTGTAATTAGAGGCCTAGGAAATTTCAGAGCTGCACCTATCCAATTGACAGGGCCTTTTTCAGGAGCTGGAGAAGTGGACAAGCAAACCAATAGCTAAAAACGAACACTGGGGCAAAATTTTGGCCCATATTCGTGGGCTCAATTTAAGCAATAACAAGAGGACGTTAAGAAAGGATAATTTTATTTAAGCAAAGTGCGTACCTACTACCTCCACTCTTTGATGCTGTCATTAAATGATTCAAAATATTCATGCAAGTTGGGAAATCTGGGCCCTCTCAACTGCAGCTACTACCATTTCCAATCTATGTGAAAGAGGGATGCTGGGAATTGTTGTTCAGCAACATCTTCACTGCTTACTTGACCTTTCCTCAGATATGAAAGGGATTTGAAGAAGAACTTGTACAGACAGCTTTCATCAGACCAGCTCATATGGAACAACCAGTTCTTGAGAAGTTTTTCTTCCTAGTTTGGAGGTCAAAACCCTCATATTGGTCTGCTCTGCGTAAATTGGTCTTGCAGATCCATCTCCACAGACAAGTGTTCCTCCACACTCATTGCAAATTTAGATGCAAAAGGACGATAGCTTTGTAAAAAAAAAAAAAAAAAAAAGGAAACTCGGAGATATGATAGGAAAGTGTCAGCTTTGCTGTATGAAAGAATCTTAAAAGGAAAGATCTAAGATCAGTCATAAATGAGCACACCGAGAAAAGAAAAGTGGGAGAGAAGAACTGAATGGCTCACTCTGAAAGAGGACATGTTTTGTTTGGCTGCAAATCTCCACCATTTAATGTCAGTTCGGGTATTTTGGCTTTCAGTGGAAATAGTCCCTATGATAACCCAGGAAGTCCAGAATCTCACGGGCAAGGCATTTCACCCGGACCCTGATCGAAACTAGGCTCTGTGTGCAAACTTAGCATGCCAATAATTTTGGGATGGTGGGCTCTTCGACAGGTTTGAAACTCTGGCAGGTAGCCAGAATGGCTACAGTTCAGCTGCAGCCACATGCTCATTTGGCGTATTCAATTGCCAATCATCAAAGTGAAATCAAAGTTAGGGAAATGAAATGATCGGAATGAGTAAGAGGCATGCAAAAGGGTAGAGAAAGTCCATTCCAGCAGGCAAAAGCTATGCAAGCCATGAATCCATTATCAAGGTCCAATAGTAGTGTTAAGTTTGAGCAATGAGAGGCTGAACCAGAGCATGAGTGCAA